TTTATTTTTTTAATTTTTTATTTATGAAGAATCAAGCTTCGAGCATATGTGAAGAATTAAGTTTATTTATTTTATTCTTTATTTATGAAGAGTTAAGCTTGAAGCATGTGCTTTGATACTAAAATTGGAAGAATTTCAAAAAGTGGAGTTAATCATTTTGGCTTCTGAGTGGCTCATATGTGAAATTAATCCCAATTTAGTATCTTTTACAGACGCGATGACCTAAATAAATAAATAACTAATTTTTAAGAAAAGTAATTCGGCCACGAAAGAGTTAAATGGTTTTAAATTGTGAAAAAGATGGAAGAAATTTTTTCATCTTTTCAAAATTTTAGGTAGAATATTATAAAATATCGGTTTACAGCCGACTTAGAATTTTCTGTTTGTTTTTTCATAATAATTGAGGAAGCGGTGTGGATTTAATACGAAGATTTGTTACAAGGTTTTCGTGGAACGTGATAGAATCTGTTGTTTGTGAAAGGGGTTGAAGCTGCGGGTTTATCTTTGAAGATTAATGAGTTTCTTGGTGAACTAAGGATTTATATGTTTGTGGAAGGTGTGAAATGCAAAGTACATTTGAAAATGAGTTTTGAAGAACGCGGGAGATTAAATGTAATGCAAGCTCTCGTTTGCTCAGGCTGTGTGGTTTTTGAATGAGTTAATCAACGATTCTTCCGGGTGTTACTCTAACGTATAATTGTTATTCTTTGATCTTTGTGTCTATAGAGAATTAGCTTCTCGGTTAACCACGAAACGTTCTTTTCTGTTATTATTTCTTTATTCGTGTGGTATTTTTTCTGAAACTTTCATTCGCTGGCGTTCATGGATATCGAAAGTTTTTATAGTACTGAATTTAGTTAATTTAAATACTAATTACTAAAGAATTTACATTGAAAGAATTTACATTTTGAATCTTTGAAATTTCAAATTTGAATTAAAAATTTTTGAATATTCAATTTTAATTTGTAATCGAATTTTAATATTCAAATCGTAATTTTTAAACAATTCAAATATCCGAATACTTGAAAATTTGAATTTTGAATCTTTCAAATTTCAAAATTGAATTGAAAAGCGAATTTTAATATTCAAATCGTAATTTTTAAACAATTCAAATATCCGAATACTTGAAAATTTGAATTTTGAATCTTTCAAATTTCAAATTTGAATTAAAAATTTTTGAAAATTCAATTTTAATTCGTAAGCGAATTTTAATATTCAAATCGTAATTTTTAAACAATTCAAATATCCGAATACTTGAAAATTTGAATTTTGAATCTTTCAAATTTCAAATTTGAATTAAAAATTTTTGAAAATTCAATTTTAATTCGTAAGCGAATTTTAATATTCAAATCGTAATTTTTAAACAATTCAAATATCCGAATACTTGAAAATTTGAATTTTGAATCTTTCAAATTTCAAATTTGAATTAAAAATTTTTGAAAATTCAATTTTAATTCGTAAGCGAATTTTAATATTCAAATCGTAATTTTTAAACAATTCAAATATCCGAATACTTGAAAATTTGAATTTTGAATCTTTCAAATTTCAAATTTGAATTAAAAATTTTTGAAAATTCAATTTTAATTCGTAAGCGAATTTTAATATTCAAATCGTAATTTTTAAACAATTCAAATATCCGAATACTTGAAAATTTGAATTTTGAATCTTTCAAATTTCAAAATTGAATTAAAAATTTCAAAATTCAATTTTAATTCGTAAGCGAATTTCAATATTCAAATCCTAATTTACTAATCATTCAAATATTCCAAATACTTGAAAATTTGAATATTTAAATTTAAACCTAAGATCTTCCAAAGTTTAAATTCGAATCAAAAATTTTTGAAAATCAAAATTTAAATTTCATTTGAATTCATGATTAATTTTGCTCTGTATGTCTGTAACCAGACGAGAAGTGAAATTTTCGACATACATACTAATTTATAATCACATCTCGCGAAAGATGACAACATTTTACCTCGAGAAGTATCAGAAAGCGTCTTTTAATATTTTCCGTGTGGGTTTATTTACGTGACAAGCTTTCGAAAACAATCTCATAAAACGAAGCTCATCAAAGTAGCACGCTTCGTTCAGAATAACTTATTTCTCACTCGCGTTGTTGCACGAAACTTAAATGCAATAAGCTTCACCATGTGGCAATTAAGTTTTTCCTTTTAAACGTGCAAAAGTTCGAACTTTTTTTGGGGGGGGAAAGCTTTCATTCAAGTTAGAATGTACATAGAGGTCTTCAATCGGAAATTTTTCGTGCTTTTACCAATCGTTTTCTACGTAATTTATCGAGATCGTTGAAAAAGGAGCAGGAGAAACAACCTCGATAAATAGTTCCCCCGCTCCGGCAGCAATTTCTTGAATTAAACTTTTACTGCGAAGGAAACCCGTGCGGCGACGCGTTTTATATGGAAACGCTTATTGGATACAATTGGATGGAAATTACCGGAAAGGAATGGATTCTTTCGTATCACGATTCTCCATGTATTTCTTCGGAAGGTTGTTACCGAAGTGGAAAATACGATTTGAGGAAATTTTTATTAGAATTCATTCGCACAATTCGAGAATTTCGCGTAAGGATATCGAGGATAGAAAATTTTTATATTTCATAAATCAAAAATTAACGAAATACTGTATTTTGTGAATTGAATACTCAATTTTAGTAACGTTTGAATGAAACAATGTAAATTATCAAGATAAGTAGATTAATTGAAAGAAATATATTAAAAAATTAACAAAATACTATAATTTTTTAAGTTAAATACTGAATTTTAGTAACGTCTGAATTAAATAACGTAAATTATCAAGATAAGTAGATTAATTGAGAAAAACAAATTAAAAATTTAACAAAATACTGTATTTTTTAGAATTAAATATTGAATTTTAGAACAGTCTGAGTGAATCAATGTATATTCTCAAGATAAATAAATTAATTGAAAAGAATAGATTAACAAATTAACAAATTACTGTCACTTTTTAAATTAAATGCTCCATTTCAATAATGTTTGAATGAAACAATGTAAATCCCCAAGATAAAGAAAATATTTGAAAAGAAATAAATTAAAAAATTAACAAAATACTGCAATTTTTTTAAATTAAACGCTCAATTTTAGTAAAGTCTGAATGAAACAATGTAAATTCTCAAAAAAAAACATTAATTCCAAAAAATAAATTTCCACAATCGAACTAAAGTAGATAATAATTTCAAATAAAATTTCTCCTCTAATTTCTCACTTCTCGAAACCAAATATAAGACGTTCCCTTCACTTACAATACTAATTTCATTTTCCTTCCCAACGATTTATCCTTACTATTTCCTCACCCAGCAATACATCACGCAATTACCTTACCGCCATCTTTTCAGCAAATTAACCGAAGATACAATTCCTGTGACCTTGTACCCATACAACGCCTGTTTCACTAAATCCCAAATTCTCATAATCCTCTTTGCTTTCTCACAAAATGCCAATAATTCCACACCGTATATCCTCATTTCTGAAACAACTAACAATTCTTACCTAAGCTTCATCTTCCCAAGGAAACAGGCAAATTTGCACCAAGTATCAGCATGAAACAACATACTCGACCTTGCCAACTAAATATATCTTCGCGAAGGATTCACCTGGAAAATTCTTGTATTTTTATTTTCATCCCTTTCGTAACGCAATCTACCCTTTTATGACCTCTGATAATGGACGCGGCGTTTAATCGAACTTAGCTACACGATACGTTTCTTTCACTGGGAAAGCTGACTTGAGGAACGAGACCTCTTAACAGTCCTGCAAACAACAGTGAACTCGTCTAAGTGCTTCCCTTTTCTCCCCCTGATTTTGCGTCGTTGTTGTTCCAAGTATGTTTTTAGGATTCGATTGTGCGATTGGTGCGGAGTTTGTTGCGTCGGAGTAAACGTTTGTCGTGCTTGTTATTGTGGAAGAGCGAATGGGTTGGAAGAGGAAGAGAAAGGTTTTATCAGACTCTATTTTTGGGGGAAATTGAAGGAAGTGGTTTTTTCAATTTTGCGGTTCCAATTGTCCGGCAGTTTGCCTTTATTTCGATGTTTTAGAGGAATGTTGGTTGTAAAATATTAAGTTTTGGTATAGTATTAATTATTATTACAATATTAATTATTATCGTTTGCGATTTATGATCCATTGTATGATGTCTGAAGGCAAAATTTTTCAAGTCGAGTCTGACTCGATGTAGGACCGCAAAGGGTTAATTTTTGGCGAAGAGAGAACAGTAATCTATAACTGAAATTTAGTTTTACTTTGTAAAATTGGACTCTGTTTGGAAGAACATGGGGATTACAGTTTTGTGTTATATTCTTACGAGGGTGAATGTGTGAAACTTTTCTAAAATGAGGATAGTTAGCTCATCCCATAAGTTCGTGCCGAAAGCGAAAAATATTTTAATGAAAATCCAAGGAAGAAGGACTTACCAAAGAAAACACTAGGAGAAAGTTGTGGAATGAGAAGGCACTTGCACTTTATTTTTGCGAAATTTAAAGATTCCTGGGAAATATTGATCTACACTTGGTTCAAAATAAGAATAACCTCGCTCTCGGACCGATTCTCGTCCGTTCTGCGCATAGACAGAGAGCGTAGCAGAGTGGGGGTTAAGTGGGGGTTTGGACGTTCTCGCCCTGCCTTAGGCACGTCCCATGCGCGAAACGAGGTTACTCTTATTTCGAACGAACAGTAAATTATAAAATTCGACGTGAACTCAAGGCATGGCCTAATATTTGAAATGAGATTGCCATTTTTATTATAATAATTCGAGAATTATTTTTATTGTAATTCGAGGTTTGTGATTTAATGTATTTTTTATTTCGTTATATTAATCATACGTTTTTGAATTTGTGTTGCAGAGGAAGATTCGCTACAGAGTGCGATTTTTACTGTAATAATTCGATTTTATTGTAATTTAAGTTTTACGATTTAATATGTTTTTTGTGTTTCTTATGTTAATCATACGTTTTTCAACGTGTGTTACAGAGGAAGATTCGCTACAAGTTGCGGACTCGGATTATACAGACAACGCGTTGGAAAATCTGATGAGAGCAGCCCAACAGAAGTGAGTATTTATTACTTTAGTATCAAAACTTGTTTCCCATCCTTTCCCATCCTTCCGACAATTTTTCGTTTAATTTTATTAAGAATAGTTTTGTATACACGTACAGTGCATGCTCTGTGTTTGTTGAAACAATCTTTTGCGGTCCAGTGTAAAAAGTGAAATCAAGGAAAAAGAACGTAGAATCTGTAGTTATCGATTTTATAAGTGAAAGTGACGGTGAACTTGACCGTGGCATTTCAAGATTTGTTGCAGCGTGAAAGAAAGGAACAGCTAGTATCCGAGTGACGGTGAAAGTTTCACATTTCGTAAAAATAACTTCGAAGCAAAACATGTTTCACGGTATTTTTATTCCGTACTTTTTTATTTCACACTTCGAGATAAAGATAAGATCGGGGGATCGCAAAGGATTCATTCCATTCGAATTCAAATAATAAAAGGAATTTCGGAAAACGAAAAATTAAAAGTAAAATACAATTCTCGATTCAAAATAGAGTGTTCACTGTACTTTGAAAACTGTAGTCAATTTATTATTATTTTTTTACTAACACATTCCGTGCCCCGGAAAATATATGACTTTTAGCAAAACTTTATTAAGAAGTTAAAAAGTCATATTAAAATACTTAAATATTTAAATCCTAAAAAAATATCAATAGTGTTAGGGTATGCGTCTATCTGAGAGTGTTATGCGATAGTTGCTCTCGAGAGTACTCTCAAATTGTGTGTCCAGCTCTCCGCTAGTACTCTCGGTACAATGTATAGTCGGTGGAAGAAATATTCAGGCATGCAGCATTTTACGTTTGCAATTAGTATTCGATCAAAGCTAAGGCATACTTTATGCAGAAGCTCTTAGCTTCTCAGGTTTCCGTCTACTGATCTTGAAATTACACTGAAACTGTCTGTACATTACATTTCTTCCACTGACTGTACTTAAGGTAAGTATTCATCTCAAAGATTTTCACGATAGTTGTTCTCGAGAGTACTCTCAAATTATACAGCTCTTCGCTAGCAATACCGTGGATACTTCTAAATTAGCACAGAGCAACTTACGATAGTTTCACTCTCAAATGAACAAACACCCTAAATTCTCGTCCTTTTAATCTACTTTCCTGTGTCCTTTCTTCAAACCCTCAGCCTTGAGAGTACTTTATTTCGCCCAATAAAAATTCCACTTCCAAAAAATATACACGTGGTGTACATACACTACCGGCCAAATGTTTGGGATCACTGTGCATTGCAAGTTGCACCAAAATCCTTAAAGAAAAAGTTAGCATTTATAATAATTTCTTAACGAATCTTTTGAAAGATTGAAGATTGAGAAATGAGATAAAGTGCTATTAACCTCCACAACATCGATTTCAAATCAAATAGCGGATTCAGTATTGACGTAAATTGGCAGGTGATTCGAAATGTTTCACCGGTAGTGGCACGGAAAGTGTATAGTGGAAAACGGAGTAATTTCGGCTACATAATCCTACTTTTATACTTACCTTGCTTAACAATTCACCACTGTTATAAGATTACGTTACAAAACGAACTTTTTAGCAGAAGGGGTGACTAGAGTTGCCTAGAGTAAAACGTGACTCCTTGCACTCTGAAAAAAATACGATAAACATTAGTATACATGATTATTTGCAAGTTAATGGCTACATAAGTACGATAAGCAGGAAAATTTGTAAAAAACCGAACTCTCGCGGATTTGTTTAAAAACACTGCTAGTCGTTAACAAGTACCATACACAGTTCAAATTGCGCGTTTCTTCAATTTCAAAAAATTAAAGTAGCCGAAATTATCCCGCTTTCCCCTACGCGTGGCACGGAGAGTGTTAAACAGTTTCTTTTACCCCTACACCCCACCCCGCCCCTCGATGTCTCGATGTCTCTGTAAGGCATTGTTCTGATACCCCTAATCTCGAGTAGACGTACCTCGTTGATCTACCTGTTTAGGCGGGCCTGCATAAGACGTGGCGGAAATTGCGACCATCGACCGAAAGACTGCTGCTACAGTTCCAGTTGCAGATGCAACTTATGGGGTTCCAATTGCCGGTGCCAACGAGTGGGTCTCTTCCAGAAGTGGGGCTAAACAACCCCCCTCTCTCTCTCTCTCTCTCTCCTCTCTACGTCTTCTTCTTTCTTTTCTGTTATCTCGGCGAACAATGTTTCTCCTAATTAGCACGCGACACGCGATATTAACCGCACAAGCACACAATTTTTCTGTATAAATTCTCGAGGTTTCGTTTCACCCCTCGATACACCTACCTCTATTCTTTCACACACCTCTGTACGATCTCAGGATGCTCGAGTTCTCACCTAAGTTTTCCACGTACGACGTTTTCCTTTCCACACAGTCTGCTGTGGTACGCGGTCTAAAATTCTGCTACCGAGTTAGAGTTTAGATAGAGAGTTCAATTTGCGCTGCGTGAACGAAACGATTGGTGGAACAGCGAGCTTACAGAATGTATGCGTTGCGGAGAGGGTGAATTTTTTACACTGTTTTTTCTTCGAATTATTCTAGTCGTTTTTTTAATTATTTTTAAGGATATTTGATAAGAGTTTGGACTGTTGTTCTATTTACGATGCACATCTCGAATCTACCTCCCTCGTGTATAGTAATCGAACAACGAGCTTCATCGAGAGCTTATTCTCCGTTTTCTTTTTTTCACTTAGTTTCGGTTAGGTTTTTAAATTTTCCCCTTTTCTCCTGCGTTTCGTTACTTTCGGTCTCTCGTAAATTAAGATCTACTTGGAGGCCTTGCGCAGTCTGTCGGTGAAGAAAGAGAAACCCCATCGAAGCGTGGCGCAAAAAGCGGCGAAATAAAGTTGAAGTAAGCGTTACACTATCTTCCTCGATGTTCGCTTTATTTTTTTTGTAAAAAGACGAACGTGACTATGCGCGAGAAGCGTGTAGAAAATAGAACGAAAATGGGAGTACGAAGTGGTCCACATGCTAAGGGAACCGATTCTTCCTCTGTAACGATGATAATAAGTTGTAAAAAGACGAACGTGACTATGCGCGAGAAGCGTGTAGAAAATAGAACGAAAATAGGAGTACGAAGTGGTCCACATGCTAAGGGAACCGATTCTTCCTCTGTAACGATGATAATAAGTTTGAACGAACTATGCAAAACAATAAGTCGTAAGTCACTTATGAAAAGAAAAAGGAATCTATACAGGGTGTCCCGGGTTTTAATGGCCAAACGTTGTCGGTATATTCTATGGGTCGAAATAAAAAAAAATGTTAGACAAACATAGGTCTTTTAGAGCTTCGTTGAAAAGTTACGGCGGTAATACGAGGGCGGATTGAAAAGTTCGCGGACTAACTGGGAAGAACTGCTGCTAGGTGCTTGCAATTTTTACGGTGTAATCTGTGATCATTTGTGTACCGACGTACGAAGTTTCGTGGCTGTGTCAGTAGGGGTGTTTACAGCGACGGAGAAGAGACGAATAGAAGCGAGGAATGGTCCAGTACCTGGTGACAAAGGACGTCAACCGCAAGGACCTTGAATGATTTTCGCAAGAATTTCGAATAATTTTTGCAAGCTCCTTGAATGATCTTTGATGCGAGGTCCTTTATCTTCAGGTATTAGATCGCTGTTCGTTTTCTAATTTCGTCCATCTCTACTCCATCTACTGCGAATTCCTCTACTTCGCTAGCTCTAAAAGGGAGAAAAATGACGACAGAGACACGAAACTGTATACATTAGTACACAATTAATTACATATTATTCGGTCAAAATTATAAGCACTTAGCTGCAATCCTTCATACTTAGGCCGTGAACTTTTCAATCCACCCTAGCGCGAAATGAAGGAAATAATAGCAGACTCACGGTTACTGCGATGTAATACAGTAATAGATTATCAATATTTGCGCGATATTTATAAGATCGCGTAATGAATTGATACAAAAGATCAACGATGCGTTTATTGAAATGAAACAAAGTAATAACGAAATTCGCAGAGTACAGTAATGTCTCTACAAGTGTCAGCCAGTTTGGATTCTACAAGTGTCAGTGTAGATCGTCCTACGCCTAGGTCTGCGTCATTGCTGCGCCTATGTTATCTCGCTCGCTGTCAGTCAACAGTCAGTGAGATTTCACGGCTCGACAATTCATAATAGAAAAATATAATTTCTTTAATTTTACTTGTTTTCATCTAAAATTTTTTTTAACATGGTGAGATTTTTCTGATGAAAATGAGATCAAACACGATATAATTTGGATAACATTTACTTATTAATACTTATTGAGTAATTAATTTAATGTCGGCCTACCTCCACGTTAAAAAAAAAAAAACGTAGGGCCGATTCTACAAGTGTCAGTCAAATGTAGGGCCGATTCTACAAGTGTCAGTCAAACGGCTGGCCAATTCTCCAACTGGCAGTCAAACCGGAGGCCGACTCTATGTAATGTAATGCAGGTCGTCTGTTTTATCTCAATGCAGTGAAATATCTGGCGTGACAGTGAACGTGTTAATAAGTAAATGTTGTTCAAATTATGTCGTGTTTGATGTCATTTTTATCAGAAAAATCTCATCGATATGTTAAAAAAAATTTCGGGATAAAAAAACGTAAAATTAAAAAAGTTGGTATTTAAATCGCTTGGTTGCCTCGACTCACGTTTCATCCTTATCTTTTATTTGCTCTCCTTGTCTACGTTCGGCAAACTACAAAGGCGGGCGCGAGGCTCGAAAACGTAGTCCCTGACTCTACAAGTGTCAGGTTTAGGTTCCTTGCGGACTGACACTTGTGGAGACATTACTGTAATCTGATCTTTTCTGACGTCAATCTTACATTGCCATAAACGGTGGACATTTTTCAGATGGAGTATTAGTTGCTTCTTGCATAAGCAGAGTAAACGTAAATATTGCTGATCTACTTCTGTATTACATCGCAATAACCGCGAGTCTGCTATTGTTCCCTTCGTTTCGTATTATTGTCACAACTTTTTAACGAAGCTCTAAAAGACCTATGTTTGTATAACATTTTTTTCTTATTTCGACCCATAGAATATACCGACAACGTTTGGCCATTGAAACCTGCGACACCCTGTATATTTCACGCAAGGAAATAAGCGTTTCAGAATTGAAACTGTACTTCGTTCGATTAGTCTTTAAGTTGTCCGAAGCTTGGCGATTATTTCTCCCGTGAAAATTTCGTTGAAATGTTACAAATGGTGCGATTAAAACGACGCAAATGTTGAAAAGGAACAAAAGATCAGAGAGAAGATTTGCTCGAAGATTTCTTTCGACTGCACAAAAATTGTCGATTACTTCGTCGCGTTAACGAGAATCGTGTCTGTTGTTGATTTGATAGACACCATCGGGAGTAGAAATTGTATAAAATAAGCGTACAGAAGAGAATTTCAATCTTTAGACCATTTTGTCTCGTCAGGCTCGATTCTCTGGTGCTTCAGACCGTCGTTTTCTTCGACCAGGCGACGTGAGAAATTGGAACGATTTAATTGCAATTTTAATTACTTATGTGAAAAAATTTAGAAGGTGTACTGTCTTCTGATTGGTGTTTCCTCTAGCCACTTTTTTCCAATCAGAAAGCCAGTGTTCCACGAGATTTGTCGCTGTCGAGGACGATCACGGTGGACTCGTAGAATAATCGAATAAAATTGTTTAATATAATTGATTCCCGGATGATAGAGAAAGATTCGCGGTTCAGACACGAGGAAAATTTCTCCTATTCAAATTTTAAACTGTACGTGTATGCATACTAATTATAAATGAAAGAAAAAAAATAACAAAAAACACTACAATAATGGATGTTATCGTATTGTATCGGAAGGTGGATGTACATGTACCGATATATTATATGGAAATATAATATATATTATATATGTAACGGCGAAGTGATTTTCTCACCTGAATTTTCATTCCTACTCGACCGTTTTTAGTTTATTTTTTATGGAGATGTGTGCGAGTGTGGGAAATTTGTGGATACACAGATGACTGTGTTTTTATTCATTTTGTCGATGGAGCAAGATTTTTCGTTGGAGAAATTGTCTTGGAATGCTAGAATCGGTTCTTTGATATTTTGTTTCGTTTGAAAGGTACCGATTTGTAGTTGAATTTTGTGTCCTAGCGCATGCACTGAGTATAGAATAAAAACGTTTACCGCAGAAAAATTGAAAGATAGTTCTTATTTTTACATTGTAATTTTAGTATATGAAAAAGAAATAATTTCCATTTTTTTTTTTTCGTATAAGATGTGTCTCTCTATTTAGTAAGATTTTAGTGAGTAGAATAACTTATGCACTGCTCACTATCCTCTACTCGAAATTTTCTTCTCAAATAGATATATAGCTTGAAAAAATGTCGATGAAAGTGTTTATTAATTCAACATCCTAACAGAAAGCTATGATAATGGAGGACGAGGCGATTCATAATGAAAATATCCTAATAAAGATACCTGTTATCTAAATAAAAAAGAACACAGCAATTCATTACACTAAATAATATCAAAAGAATAAATAAATAAAAGTGCCTATTAGTTTAACATCTTAAAAAGCTAGGATAATGGAGAACGAAGTAATTCATAGTGATTAATAACGTTATAAAAGTCGTAATAAAGACACTTTCTATCCAGACAACGTAACAGAAAGGAACTCAGAAATTCATAACACTAAATAACACCAAAGAGGTAAATAAATCAAATTGCCTATTACTTCAGCTTTCTAATAAAAAAGCTTCAGCATCCTAATATTGGAGAACGAAGTACATAATTCGTAACGACTAATAGCGTCACAAAAATCCCAATAAGGACAACTATAATCCAAGCAACACAGTAATTCATACCACTAAATAACACCAAATGAATAAATAAATAAAAATGCCTATTAATTCAATATTCCAAAAAGCTAGGATAATCGAGAACGAAGCAATTCGTGGCGTCTAATAGCACCAAAAGATCCCAAGAAATACACCTACTACCCAAACAACATATCAGAAAGGCCCACAGTAATTTAAACGCCAAATAAGTAAATAAATAAAAATGCCTATTAATTCAATATTCCAAAAAGCTAGGATAATCGAGAACGAAGTAATTCGTGGCATCTAATAGCACCAAAAGATCCTAAGAAATACACCTACTACCTAAACAACATATCAGAAAGGCCCACAGTAATTTAAACGCCAAATAAGTAAATAAATAAAAATACCTATTAATTCAATATTCCAAAAAGCTAGGATAGTGGAGA